GATGTAAAGACAGTTTTTATCTCCATCAGGTTTGATACTAATTATAATTAGGGCTGGGCGATATGACGATATATATTGTCTGGACGATAGAAAATGTATTTCGTCTAATATGAAGCTCTATCGTTTATAAACGGGCGGAAAGGACTCCACGGAGGTCCGCGCGGACGTCCGCAAGCCCTGTGCGCGCACACCGGTGACTGCTCGGCATGTATTTTTCACATTGCGGGGATTTTTCACAGACATTTTTACAGGAAACTACAACGCGGAAGTGCGCTCGACTATGAAAGCCCGAATGACTGCGGACATTACTCGCGGAGTAGTAGTCTCTGCATGTTTCTCCTGTTTGTAGAAGAGCATCTCACACCACTGTAGCAATCCTAGACTGCCCTCGTGTGGTTAGGAGCTGAACTGCATGTCAAATAAAGGGGGAGAAATAAGACGGCGAATAGTAATAGTCGCATTAAAAAAATCGATTTTTCAAAAATAAAATGACTATTTGAAATTCGAAAATCGTGACCCATCCCTAATTTAGAAGACAAGTACTCATAGCAGCTTCATGTAATCATGTATAATTTGTTGGCATTCTGAAAAAAGGTGGCACTACAGCAACATCCTAAATTTTAACAATCCTATCAACAGACGAGAATAGCGCTAATGATTTTTGCAATATCCCAGCAATGCAAACCGTTTTTTGTGCCTTGGGCACGTGTAGTGACACTTGTTATGGTTCCAAAACCAAAATCAAACTCTGAAAAGTAAAGAGTCAACGTCAGCTAGCTTCATAGCTAGCTAGCTAGGGAAGGTACAGCCTACTTAGTGTATACACATGCTGCTTTTGCTTTTCACCAATTATTACAGTGAAACAAAGACCGACCCTGCTGTACAGGAACCAGTGGAGGGAGGCAGGGAAACTTTCTCAGATATTCAACCACCTGTGTGTCATCACAGTGTGTTTAGATGAATAATGTTAAGCTTCCCACCCATCTGCTGGCAGAGGTCCCAGTGCTTGTGGCATGGGTCGAAGCCAAACATGTTCATCAGCACACACTGTGATGCCACACAGCTGGTTCAATATCAGCAAAGTTTCCCTTTATATTCATTGTCTTGTGTGGTGATCAGCAGTGATGTGGTGGTTCACTTTTACACTG